TTTTCTGATTTATGTTAGATATAGATAAGATTGTATCAATGTCTAGTAGATATATTATGCATGTTTAAAACTTTTTTCTTTTTGTTTGTTCAGATTCTTCAATGAACATTTCTATATCGACGGCTAGTGTGTGTAATTACAGTGTATGGGAGGAGCCTGCATTTAGGGGGTGTGGCCTGGTTAAGGACAACGAGGTCCCACCACCTTCTCTGCTCTTTCTTTGGCTGTCTGATGCCCAGGCACACCAATTACACAATGACCTGTCCGTCATCCTGCCAGGCACATGTCCAGGTCAACCACCTGTCTATTTTCTTGATTACTTTATTGTTGAAACTGTAAAACATTTTTATATAGTTACTATTATTGCTAATATTTTTGAAAGCAATGACAGTACTTTCTATATTCTTTCTCCTTTTTACATACGTTTTGCTGTGTGTCTACAGCTGAAAGCAGTACGTGTGTGTTGCTGTGTTTGGCTGAACCTGTAACTGGTGTTGAAAGTGCTGTCTTGGCCTCTTTAATGGACATAGTGGGTTTGAACCAGAACAGCTTCAAACTCCACTCCCCCCTCACACAGCCGGAAAGCCTGAAACTGCTTCAGAGCTCCCAGGAAACACACCTTCTCCAAATGCTGATGCCCGAAACTGATCCTCAAACCAGCACTGCTGCACATGCCACTGTATCTACTGAGAAGGTTCAGTCAAAATATTGCGTTGTTGTATCTTGCATGCTTGCTTTTTTTTCTTGTTTGCAAGTTAATTTCTTTCTTGTAGTTAATGTTTAATGTTAATAATTTAGTTACAAAATATTAGGCTGATTATAGGCAAGTTATTTGAATTGTATCATATTATTAAATACAAAATACAGAAGAATTTTCACTTTTCAAACCCTCTGTATGTCAGTGTGGTGGTTTTTAAACGATCTGTTTTTCCAGCTTAGTTTGATCTGGGAGGGCTAGGAAGAAAATGATCGATTATAGGAGGGGAAAAACTGTTTTGGCCGTTTTATGGATTTAATGTGTGTTTTCAGTCTCAGGATTCTGAAGTTCAGTTGAAGCCAGTTTACACGCTGTGCCACAGAAGAGCTCAGGGTTCATACAGTGTTACCTTGGCACCTACACTTGGGGCAGAATGGGCCCCGTACCAACACTGTGGTCCAGCATGCAGGTAAAAATGTTTTTAATGTTTTTTGACAGAAATCTATAATGATCACCAAAGCTGCATTTATTTGATCAGTAATACAGCAAAAAAAACAACAAAAAAAACACTTATATTGGAAAATATTGTTACAATTGAAAAAAAAAAACTTTATTTTAAGATATAATTTATTCTGTAATGTCAAAGCCAAATTTTCTGCATCATTACTCTAGTCCTTAGTATCACATGAGCCTTCAGAAACCATTCAAAAATGCTGATTTGGTGCTCAAGAAACATTCCTTATTTATTATCGTCATGATGTAAACAGTTGTGCTGCTTAATATTCTTGTGGAAACCGTGATGCATTTTTTCAGGATTTTTTGATGAACAGCAAGTTTAACAGTTTAACATTTATTTTAAATAGAAATAGTTTGTAACATTATAAATGTCTTTACTTTCACTTTTGATTAATTTAATCTGTCCTTGCTGAATAAGTGTTCATTAAAAAAAAAATTAAACTCTTCTTGGCCTCAAAGGGTTTACATAACCCTATTTATTTTGTCTGAACCTCAGTCCTAATTTACTTTCATTCAACTCTGTTTAGATTGATTCAGTTCCCTCCTCCACCCTCGAAAGGAGCCATCACCGTGACAACAGAGGATCTGGAGTGTTTAGACAGTGGCGAGTTTCTTAATGATGTCATCATCGACTTCTACCTCAAGTAAGACAACCAAGGATGGCTTTTATACACAACGTATCAGTGGGAGGAGTTGAATTAGATCCAGTCACTCCTTCACAGTTGTTTGGGAAGAAGTAAGCACTGGGGGCTTTGACTATCAGCATGAAGTTTGGAAGCACTATGATGTGGAAAAACAACTAAACATTGGCTGTTTTTAACATTACATTACCCTTCAAATCTTTGGGGTCAATAAGGCTTATTATAATAATTACATATGATTTCTTTTAGACTAGAGTAAGGGCTGCTGAAAATTCAGCTTTGCCATCACAGGAATGGATTACATTTTAAAATATATTCAATTAGAAAATGGTTATTTTAAATTGTAATAATATTTTGCAATATTGCTGTTTTTATTTTTGAACAGATAGGCTAAATGCAGCCTTGTTGTGCATAAGACGTGTTTTTCCAAAAAAAAATTAAATTCTTACTGACTGCAAACTTTTGAACTGTACTGTATGTTTTAGGTGCTTAATCTGAAATCACTGTAACCTAAATACTGTATGTCTACCCTATTTACTTGCTACTAAAAGGCTCAAACTGTCCTCTTTGAGTCCTCATTGACCGCAAACTGATGATGCATTTTGTATGTGTGTTTTTCAGGTATCTTCTGGTGCAAAAGGCCCCACAAGCATCTGTAGACAGATCTCATGTTTTCAGCAGTTTTTTCTATAAACAGCTCACACGCAGAGACAACGCTAATGAGGACAGTACAAGCACACCGTGAGTATAGACAGCACACATTTATTCTCATATAGCCCTTGTGCAATACTGATATACACTTTTCTTTGATAATGCGTATTGTTACAAATGGTCTTCGTATTTTTCAACTTTGGTTGTCCATCAGAGCTCAGGTCAGAAGACATCAGCGTGTGAGGACATGGACGCGGCATGTAGACATCTTTGACAAAGACTTCCTGTTTGTGCCTGTCAATCAAGAGTGAGTATTAGCTATATAAATACAGTTGTTGGACACTTAAGCCATACTTTTGAGGGCCAGTGTTTTTAGAGCTGTGATTGCTTTTTAAGTACATGTTTCTTTTTTCTTTTCTTTTTTTTTTTTTTCATTCGCTAATTTGTGCTCTTTATGGACATTATAAAATGTTTGAGCTTTCATGTGCCTTGAATGTACCAGTGTAAATCATATCGTGATTATAATTGTCTTATATCATGTCTGGTGTTTGCTTCAGATCTCACTGGTACCTCGTGGTGATCTGTTTCCCCGGGTTAGAAGTGCCACAGTATGTGAAGAGGGATGGCAGTGGCTTTGTACAGGGTGATGGAGGTGAAGGTTTGGGTGAGTCTGAGGGTGAGATCCATGGAGAGAATAGATCCAGCAGTGATGTGGACAAAGGTAATTTGTTTTAAAAAAAAAATTTTATTCTAATGCTTTACTACTGATTTACTAAAGCTAACTACTTTTAAGTATCATTTGATGATTTTAGACAAACTTTTGTTCTTAATCTAGATGACAGTCATATAAAGCCAAGAATGTCTCTTCATCTTCCTGTAAGTCAAAACAAATATTAATAACTGTCAGGTCATGCTAGTCAGAAATCTTTAATTTGAAAAATTGAATTGTTGGATAGCATTTGATTTGATATAATGGGATGTGGACAGATAATTTGCACATGCACAGTAATAGCAGAACCTTCTCCCTCTGTAGGACTGTACAGAAAATACCTGCAAGAGACAAATTGTGTGTAAAAGGTATGCGTGTATTTTTAAATAAACTCAAATGTAAATTTTGTAAAATGTAAAAAAAAAAAAGTATTATTTACTTTTATTATAAAAGTAAAAATAACGTGTTTTTGATTTTCTATAATTTAATTGCTTTTTATTTATATATATTTTTTATTATGCAGTTATGGAGGCTTTCAGGAAACATTTTTCTTTTCTTTTTTTTTTTTTTTAAATCTTTTGCCTTTTAATGGGCAGAACAGTCTGACAGAGTTAACATTTTTAACTCAGAATTATAAGAATTATTTTATTATTATTATTTTTTTTTCAGACCATGTATTCTCATCATGGATTCCTTGAAGTTGTCTGTTCACGAACGTATTTTCAAACTCTTGCGCGAGTGAGTGTTTGCACACTAACTACAGCCCAACTTAATCTAACATTTAAGTGTTGTTGTTGTTGTTTTTATTATTATTATTATTTGTTTACTAGTATTATGTAAATTATACTAGTGTAATAAGATATTTTCACCTGTAGTTTCAGTCTTTATCTATGAGATATATATATATATATATAATGTGTATAATGAAATTTCTTTACATGACATGATTCATTTTGAGGTTTGTTTTTTAGATACCTTCAGGTGGAGTGGGAGACAAAAAGAGGTGGTTACCGTGACTTTAGTGTTGACAACATGATAGGCTCCCACTGTAGAGTCCCCCTACAGGACAACAGCAGTGACTGTGGCCTTTACCTGCTACAATATGCAGAAAGTTTTTTGCAGGTAGAATTACACCCATTCTTTATTCAAGATTTTCAAATACAAAAATCTGTGCAAGAGTCTAATTTCACAGCAATGCTATTTGTATACCTTTCAGGACCCTGTGTTACACTTTGACTTTCCATTGAGATTGGATCACTGGTTTTCGCGGCAAAAGGTGCGAGGTAAACGGGAGGAGATTCGAGACCTGATCCTACACCTGTACAGATTTCAGCAAGGCTCTCTGGGAAGTGAAGCTCTAGAAGATAGGACAGATTATGGAAATGTCATTTAGTGATGTAAAGTTTTTAGATTCACACGATTATTTTACGCAATATATTTATATTTTAACTGCTTTTTAACCTTTTATATTAATTTTATGCTTTTGTATACATTGTTGGAAAAACTTTAGAGACAAATAAATGCAGATAAAATGATGATAAATTGTTTTGCTCTTTTTAATTTCCAATTTCTCTGTATGTCTGAGTATTTTGTTACGGTAAGTAGCACAAACTTTCTTTAAAGGAGTCATATGGCAAAAAATAAATTTCCTTGATCTTTCAAGCAACAAAATATGAAGACCCTTTTAAATATGGAAATTTTTACTGTGTTTATATGCTCTCTCTTAACAGTGGCTTTTAACTCAGAATTATAAGAATTATTTTATTATTATTATTTTTTTTTCAGACCATGTATTCTCATCATGGATTCCTTGAAGTTGTCTGTTCACGAACGTATTTTCAAACTCTTGCGCGAGTGAGTGTTTGCACACTAACTACAGCCCAACTTAATCTAACATTTAAGTGTTGTTGTTGTTGTTTTTATTATTATTATTATTTGTTTACTAGTATTATGTAAATTATACTAGTGTAATAAGATATTTTCACCTGTAGTTTCAGTCTTTATCTATGAGATATATATATATATATATAATGTGTATAATGAAATTTCTTTACATGACATGATTCATTTTGAGGTTTGTTTTTTAGATACCTTCAGGTGGAGTGGGAGACAAAAAGAGGTGGTTACCGTGACTTTAGTGTTGACAACATGATAGGCTCCCACTGTAGAGTCCCCCTACAGGACAACAGCAGTGACTGTGGCCTTTACCTGCTACAATATGCAGAAAGTTTTTTGCAGGTAGAATTACACCCATTCTTTATTCAAGATTTTCAAATACAAAAATCTGTGCAAGAGTCTAATTTCACAGCAATGCTATTTGTATACCTTTCAGGACCCTGTGTTACACTTTGACTTTCCATTGAGATTGGATCACTGGTTTTCGCGGCAAAAGGTGCGAGGTAAACGGGAGGAGATTCGAGACCTGATCCTACACCTGTACAGATTTCAGCAAGGCTCTCTGGGAAGTGAAGCTCTAGAAGATAGGACAGATTATGGAAATGTCATTTAGTGATGTAAAGTTTTTAGATTCACACGATTATTTTACGCAATATATTTATATTTTAACTGCTTTTTAACCTTTTATATTAATTTTATGCTTTTGTATACATTGTTGGAAAAACTTTAGAGACAAATAAATGCAGATAAAATGATGATAAATTGTTTTGCTCTTTTTAATCTCCAATTTCTCTGTATGTCTGAGTATTTTGTTACGGTAAGTAGCACAAACTTTCTTTAAAGGAGTCATATGGCAAAAAATAAATTTCCTTGATCTTTCAAGCAACAAAATATGAAGACCCTTTTAAATATGGACATTTTTACTGTGTTTATATGCTCTCTCTTAACAGTGGCTTTGGTTGCGATGAATGAATGTTGGAGAAGCCAGCCTGGAGCACATGATTGGATAAGCAGTCGGGTGTGGCATGAGTCCGTGTTCTGATTGGCTAATTCATTAGTAGTGTTCAAGTAAAGCATCAAAAGGCAGGTGCGTGCAGGGATAGTATAGGTTTAACACTAATCAGGCAGTTAGAGATTAGACTGATTTACAGACCACCTACCTTCTTCCAGTAATCCCAGCATTTCAGTCTGTGTACAGTTTTTGTCTCTGTTTATTTGCTTACAAAAAAACCCAAAAACAATTCAATCTAGTATATAGCTGGTAAATGGTGATTCATAATCTGTATGTGTGTGTGTGTGTGCGTATACCAAGGAGGTCTATAGTGAAAGCATTTCCTAACAAAGTTTGAGCCTTTGAGTCAGGCCACAGGATGGCTACTTTTTGAACGGCATGCTACCATACTATTACTATTTCTGATATATTTGTCATATACACACTTGACCTTCCATTTCCAGTGTGATGAATAATTTGGAAATATCAAGTATTGAACAGTTTTCTAAACACAGTCTGGTTGTTGACTGATTATTTGATCAGACTTACAAAGGTAAAGAGATGTTTTACACAAAATGGAAAGTGCAAAGTATATATACTACAGAAATGGTAGCAGTAATATATAAAAAGTAGTATGGAAGTAAGTTACAATGAAACAAAATCTGGGGGAAAAAAGGATAATATCCTGACAGAAAATTACTGGTGTATTTTCTGTTACATTTATGGACATTCCCTCCAATCCTCAAACACAACACAACACAATTTAATATATAATTAAAAAAACAAAAACAAACAAACACTAAAACACCTGTGAAAAATCAATAGTGCAAATCCCTTTATATTAACACAGTACATTAGGCTGTATTTTTACAAACCTTTCTTCTTTACTGTACCTGTGTTGGTTAATTTTTAAGGACACACACACACTAAGCCACCTGTGCAGTAATTGTATTGTGGCAGTTAAACCAGTGTGCGATCACAGGGGGTACAAAATACTGTCTTAGTCTTAGCCATGCAAGTCAAGCACGGCCACACCTAAAACAAAATCTTGTTTAGAATTCATTATTTCTAAAAATGCCCCTGAATTGAATCTGAGAAATCACACATGTCTCTCTAACATCCCTGCCAGTCAAGTCTTTAGAGGGCAGGGTTTTGGAAAGAAGGTGCATGTTTGCAGGTCTATTTCAGTGGCTACAGTTGTTAGCTACAGTTCCCAGATGTAAATCTGTATTGTAAATACAAGTGTAGGCACAAGCAAGTGCATTGATCTGATAAACATTGAGACACGATTTTGAGGTGATTTGTGAATAATTCATCCATGTTTCACTTTATACTTTTTTTGGACCTCTTAATGTTTAATAAAATGTCTTAGCTCAGTCTTCCAGTAAAAAAGACAGGCTTCTCTCTGGTGATGTATGCCAGAGTTATCCAATCTTTTAGTCTGCATAACCCCTGCCCCTTTCTTACAATCAACTGCAAGCTCTCATTCAGATCTGCCTCCATCCAATCAATAACAGATTGAAGTCCCCGTCCTACGTATTTTTTTTTTTTTTGATAACAGGTTTTATTTGGATGTACGTCACAATATGGAGGAAAAGATCTGTCACTACCTTCATTTCATTGCAGCTTTAAGTAGTTGCATAGTTCTGGTCATGCAGTTAACTTGTTTATTACCTTGCAACCTGACAGGTGATCAGGTGTTTGGGTGAGAAGTGATTACATAAGCGTTAAATTAGTATGCCTCCACTGAGAACTTTATATTGGGTTCAGATTATTTTGGTTTATGGAAATCTGGCAAATCACCTTTTCCTCATTTCCTCCTTTATTCCTCATTCCCTGCCCGTGTGTTTTTGGTTAGCACACTTGGTTAACTCCAGTTCTTAATTAGCTGCCCTACAGGATTACTAAAGATTAGAAGAAAAAAAAAAAGGAAAATCCCTTCCATCTGCCTACCTGCCAGAGGATTGCCACAGTTATACACCTGCGCTTATCTTTGGCAATCTGGATAGCACTTTATAACAACAATATACTATTGTAACTATCAGTGGATACTGTGTAACAGGTATGCACAGGTGTAGGAAGGTTTGGTCACATCGTCTGAAGTGAAGCAGCGACTATTTTACAACCGCTTAATTTTCAAGCCACAGGAAGTCACTATGTGGAAGCTCATATGGACCAGCATCCTGTGTTGTTTAGGCTGTATTTTTGCAATAGGCCAGCTGGATATTTCTGCAGGTATGTATATTTGTGTATGTAAATATGTATTAGGTGGGAGTGTGATGGATGAAGGGCTATCACCAAGTAATTTGCTTATGTATTTCTTTTTCAGGGGAAGTTGACTGGATTCCCATGCTTGAAAATCCAGATAAGCGCTCACAAAGATTGTTTCAAATGTGTGTGGGAAAGCCTGGAGACCATGGACTCTTGCCGAGGCATAAGCGTAATGTTTTTCTGTCCAGTAGAGTACACCACTGCAGTCAAGAAACAGTGCAGCAAACTGTCACTAACTACCTCAAATACTACCAGCTCAGAGGTGAGACACTATTACTATTGCTATTTATATTTTTAGTAATAAAAAGTATTAATAGTAATAGCAAAGTAAATTATTAGTTGCACATGCATTAATTTAATATATTTATATCAAATTCAGTGTCAATGAACTCAAAGTAGCTTTTGTATCTGCTGCTTCCCTTTTGGAACATTCTAAAAATCACAAACTTTAGTGTTTCTTAAAGATATAATTAAAGATGACATAAATAAAGATATTAAGATAACAAATCACAATTAAGTGGACACAGGTGAATTTTAAATATTTTCACTACTCTGGTTTGAATCAATTGTTACATCCTGTTACTGTTAGTCTTTTTGGAAATAGCCCCTTTACTAACAGAAGATAGACACTTAATGGCATCATTCTACAAGGAATTATATCATTTTAGTTGGAAAACAACAGCATAAACATGAACATTATTAGCTCTGGAATTGTTGATTTGTCTCATGCTATTTTTGTCTCAAGCTATAATTAATAAAGTTTAAATGCCTGAGCTCAACCAGATCATATTTCTGAGAGTCTGATATACCCTTTTATAGTCATTCTTCCTTGTTACAACAAAGCATGTTCATTTTTAACAGTTACAGAACTCAAAAGATACTGCATAACAGGAATGACCCAAGTACTCAAAGCCAAGTACACAAAGTGCTCACTGCTGTAAACTGGCCAAGAAATAACTAGAGCTTCAACAAGGAGATTGGTGAAGAAGAATTTTAGGATTTTAATAATAGGTAAGAGCAAGGTGGCTGAAAGATATACCGTATATATTGCTAGATAGATTAAAAACCATGGCGAATCATTAAGTTCTTGCAGATTCTCTTCTTGTTAAAATAATCATCACCATTAGCACATTGTAAAAAGACTACATTATAGACCATAACCCAAAACCCAGACCAAATCTTGACCCAAATAACAAGAATCAAAACCACATTTTTGTTAAGACCTCAACATCAAGAATCCACAAAGGTTTCCATTATTATATATTATATATTAATCAACTAGTGCAAGCTGTTCTATACAGCTGACAGCCGAGTATGTAACAATGAGATCTCATTAGCGTTTGGCAGTCAGATCCACTCAGAGGTATCAGGTTAGTGTTAAAAGACCTCAAGACAATCTTTCACAGTTCATGTGTGATTTCTCGCTTAAAGGGGTCATATGATGTTGCTAAAAAGAACATTATTTTGTGTATTTGGTGTAATGAAATGTGTTTGAAATGTGCGATTTAAGGTTAAAAAAACACATTATTTTCCAAATACTGTACATTATTGTTTCTCCTCTATGCCCCGCATTTCTGAAACGCGTCGATTTTTACAAAGCTCATTGGTCTTAAAAACGAGGTGTGCTGTGATTGGCCAGCTATCCAGTGCGTTATGATTGGCCGAATACCTCATGCGTGTGACGGAAATGTTACGCCCCATACCATATTGTGATGATGCCCTGTCAGGCCGGAGCGATGATTCAAAAACATGAAAACCCATTATAAACGAGGCATTTGTTGCATCCAGTGGCGACATAATTATGGATTAGAATGATTTATACTGTCTTTTTACGTGTTGCATCGCGCCGCGTAAAAATAAAACCATGTCTGCATTTGTGATCGGCGAAATTACAAACAACAAGTGCTACTCTACACTGCTCAAAACTCGCATTTGAATCATCAGTGTCAAATTCTTTAAATATGAAAAACATACTTGCAGTCTGTGAGTCAGAACAGCCGGCATTGTAGTCTACTCTCCCAGGATCGGGAAACAGTCCTCCATAAAATGTACTGCACACATCTGAATATTGGGGTTGAAGTGTTCTGGAACAGTGTTGTAAATACAACTTAACCACTGATTTCTAGTCGTGTCAATTTTTGGAAGGCCAAACAAAGTAGTTTCACTTTCACAACGAAACACAGGTCACACACGGCGGCCTAGAGTGAGCAGAGGCCAGGGGCTAGAGTGAGGAACGGCCAGAGGGCTGGAGTGAGAGGAGGCCGGTGGGCTTGAGAACGATGCGGCCGGCGGATTCGACGGAGCTTTTGGGATTGGAAAACAATGTCATCTGGACAGATAATTGCTGTGTCTGTCAAGAAAATGCACTCATATGTCCAAACAACTGTGATGTATCGGATTGTCCTGTGAAATCCTGTCCTGTCAAGACCGAGACCAGAGTAGGGTTGAGTCAGAGTTACGGCTAAATTTAAGAGTGTTGAGTATGAGTCAAGCAGAGACCAGCGAAGGGTCTTAGTCTGTTCTTGACTCAGATTTAAACCTCTTCTGGTCTGGTTTCAACTGTAACACTGGTAGCTGAACTTTAACTTTTCAGATGAAATACACGTTCATTTATTCAGACAAGAACAAATTTTCTGTTATGCAAAAAAAGAGCAGTCTGATTGTATTACTTACTGTTATGATTGTGTTTTGTTGCACTAATACAGTGTTGTTGTTGTTTTTACATAAGTGTGTCAGGAAATCGTGTGGGAGGCTTTCAAAATCTTCTTGGATCGCCTCCCCAATCAAGAAGAATACAAGAGCTGGATGAGCCAGTGCCAGACAGAAAGAGTCTCCATACAGGAGATTGGCGCTGCCTTTAGCCAATCAGAAGAACACTTAGCACTTATCCATAGAGTATGTATAGCATAAGACCGGTATAATTAACATTGTACTAATTATGTTAGCTGATACTTTTGGTATGGAGTATCGAGTATTATGGGTGACTGGTTCATGTGCATGTCAGATTGTCTGATTTCTGTCTTTTGAATCTTTATGGTTCATTGCAGAGACTTGCGCAGACGAGACTGAAAAGGTGCAATAATATTTTAAAAACCTGTTTTTATCTTCAACCCATCCTTTTACAAATACCCCCTTCTCCCCAGCCATGTATTGTAATAGATGAGTTCTGTCTTACTGAGTCTGTTTTTCTCCTCACCTTTTGTTTTCCTCTTTCTTCTCAGTAAGACACCTACATACTCAGGATGCAGGTATATACCCTTTATACCTGTTCTTTATTTTTTCATTGAATGGACTGTATTAGAAAACTTGTGTGTGGTTGAATAGTTAACTCTTACTTTTGAAGGTCTTTGCATCATTTCTGGCTGGCCTATTTTTTTATTTTTTATTTTTTTATAAATACAGTCCTGAGGAGTCTTCCCAAGAGCAAGACCGTGTGCCACCAGGTCTGTCTATTATGATTGTTGTTACTGACAGTTTCTTACATAAAATGTATATAACCCTTACAAAATCTTCTTGGCCTAATCTCATGAAAACTGAAGAACATGCATGCGTCATATTTGATATTTTGATTTTCAGAATCAGAATCAGGAAAAGCTTAATTGCCAAGTGTGCACAAGGATTTTTTTTTTTTTTTTTTTTTTTTTTGTAATGAAGCTTCCAAAATAAAATAAAAAAAGATTATATATTAAGACCATTCAGTTTTTTTTTGTTTGTTTTTTTTGCATTGAGCATTAATTTACACAACCATTAATATTGTATTAATTAATGTTGTGTTATTAAATATTAAACTATTTCATATTAAAATATTAATTTGTAAAATTTGTTTGGCAACTAACTGCTGTAAAAAGTTGCTGATGCACATTTATTGTGGCAAATTAGAAATGTCAATGTTTTTAATAAAAAGGATAAGATACTTGGCTTTTGGGCTTGGTTTGCATTTCATTTGAAATCACTGAATCCAAGCTAGAATATTTCTGGAAAAAAATACTACTGATGATAACTTGACTAAGATTGTGGTCTGAAACCATTAATGCTTATTCATTTTCTGTGAGGTTCTACAGTGTTATTTTGACGCAAACGTGCAATTCACATTCAAATGTTGTAATCAGAAATGGCAAGAAATAAACCTAAATAGATCTTATAACATTTGCCTGCACTCCAAGAGACAAATAATCATCTTCAAAACTTGGTAGGTGATGAGCTTCCAGCAGAGACCACTGTGGTGGTTACCACGGTGGTTCTAGATGAAGTTATCTCAGAGAGCGTGAAAGAAGTTACTGCTGAAGCACCATCTGCTGTCATGATAATGGAGATGGATACTGAGGTAGGTGTTTGACAGGCTGAAGTATACGGTTCATACTGATATAAAGTAAAGTCTGGTTCAGATCTGATGCACTCATGAGTCATAATACATACAAAAAAAATACATATAACCGAATTATGAATACTGAACACCTGCTAAACAAATTGTGTGTGTGTATTGTCTATGGTAGATCACTAATGAGATTGAGCAGGAAGCAGCTGCTTCACCTTCAGGTTCTCTGGTTGAGCAGTGGGTGGAGTTGGCTATGTTATTGACTGGAGAACCATGGAGTGAAGAGCTGTTCAACTCCACCAGCAGTAAACATGACCGACTCAGTCAGAAGATCACAGAGAAGGTACAACGCACACACACACACACACACGCTATAATTTTTTACACTAATGTTATATATAACGTTTGTTCTGTTCCAACCTTTTAAGTTACTATATTGTTTTGGTTTTGTGTTGCCTATGTTTGTCATTTCTTACAGATTTCAGCTGCTTTGGAGGAACTGACAGAATTCAAGAGTGTATCAGTATTGAACATCAGGTGTGTTAGTGCATGTTTAATTTTGTTAGGTATAGCTGCTAAACAGAGGCTCCAAAGAGTATTCAGACACTTAATTTACACTTAAAAATTGTATGAATATCATTGCATTTGATTTACAATAAAGGAAAACAAGTAGCATTTTAAAAATGACAGATCAAGCATACAGTTCGAGCAAAATGTTTTTTTTTAAACAGAAAGAATTGTTTTAGATTTTAAATGACTTTATCTTTCCTGTAGGCCACAGATGGATCCCTCAAGGTAAATTAGACTTGATTGTGTGCATGAATGCAGGTTTGTGAGTGATATAATGTATTTGTTGCAGTCTTTCTTTGCGCAAGACTGAGAAAGCAATAATTATGTTTATAGTCATGCAATTACAATGGAAATCTATGGGGCAAGACATTATTCTGATATAAACACCTTAATTACAACTGATAATCTAAGACTATTGTTATCAAGTCACTTGCTAACTTTATCTGTGCAAAGTTGTTTCCAATCCGAACCCCTAAAGATTCATTGTAAGTGCAGTTGTTGTTTTCTTTCTGCAGTGGTGATAAGGCAGTATTGGTGGAATATGTTGTGTCCCTCCAGACCAGCAGTGAAGAGATCAGCAGTGAGACACTGGACTTCATTCATCTTCAGTCCAACATAGTAGAGGGCACCTTTAGTTACTCAGAGGGGCCCACTGTTCAATACACCACTATTGACCTCCACCCGGACATCACTGAGTCTCTGCATGGTACTGCTCTATCATCTGCTTGTAGCTATTAGTCCTCTGCAGTACATCTAAGCAGTCTGTAATGGTGTAATGTTCTCTTGTCAGTGGAAACCTCTCCAGAGGAAACCCATCCTGCAGATGAATCTCTAGACCCTGACCGCAAGGTGAATCAAATTTCTGTCAAGGTGGCAGTAAAGTCACCAACTACAGTATACCAACAAGATATTTACATATATACTCAACAAGGTGCACAATTTGAGATATTATTCTTGACACATAGAACAAATAATGCAGACGAGTTACATACCAAATTTAATACTTGGGATTAAAGATTACAACTAAAACCTAACTCTAGAATGGAATAGCAGGAGCAGTAATATTGATGACTACCCTAGCAAGCACTACCAATAACTTCAACAAAGTCTGGGAATCAGCTGTTTTATTTTGTATATTTTCTAGGATGATATTTTAGCAGTAGAAAAACCATCCGAGGTGCCTGGAGAGGTGGTGAAGGAGGTCTTTACTGTTGGTGACCTTTTGGATTCTACAATGTCAGAAGAGGAAGGTATGATGATGGCAAACCACCCCTTATATTTTTTAGAGGATAAGAACCAATATTCACATATACAATGATTTACAGCAGGGTTGTACAATCCTGCTCCTGAAGGGCCAGCATCCTGCAGAATTTTGTTCCAGCCTTCCAACAAACTGGATTTTTTCTAAATTCTGCTGGACAGTGGCCCTAAAAGAAAGCAGGATTGGACACTACTCATTTACACCAACATGGTGGTGAAAGACTCAAGTCAAGATGCTTATTTATTCCTACTTTCAGACTTTCAAGACAAGGACTTGGTGTCACAGTTTCCTCCCAACCAGACTCTTGCTGTGGAAGGTGAAGCTGTAGGTCCCTTTATTGACGCCAAGCAAGACATTGACTTGAAAATGGATGACTTTGATCCCGCTTCTGGATTTGGTGCAGAAGATGATTGGGTAACTGTTCTTACTAGGGCTCAAGAGCCAGTTGGAGAGACAGAGGGTGAGGAAGAGGTTTTAATTGATGTAGACACACCACAGATAGAGGACTATGAATTCTACACAGTTACAACAGTGGTTGAAGAGGACCAGATCTTGCCTGAGGAAACTCCTGAACTGATTACTGTTAAAGCTGGAGAAGATGGAAACCTACAGGTCGGTAGCAATGTGCCCACAATGCCACCAGTCAAAGTGGTTGAGGCAGAATCTACCCTAAAACCTGAGGAAGACCTCATACTACCTGAAGACAACAAGGAGGAAACTGTTTTAACAGAAACGCAGAAGGATGGGGAAACTGAAGTTTCTTTGATCACAAAGGAGGAATCAGAAGAGGAATGGAAAGAATCTGTTGACAGTACCACAATGGCACAGCAGAATGATTTTGTACTAACAGATGTTTCAGCTATACAGTTTTCAGAGGCAGTTCTAACAGAGGATGAGATCCTATTGGTCACCAGTGAACCAGCAAGCCCAGTCTACCCAACACCTCTTTCACCTGAGAAAGAACCACCCTTCTCCCTCAACCCCTTGATGACCCCAGCGGAGGTTGAGTTGGTGCATACCTTAAATTCAGAAGTCATGACTACATTTCTAGATGTGATCCATTACAAAGAGGAAGAGGGTAGTGGCGTCCCTGGTGTCATCCAGGGCGGTGAGGTTTCCAGCATTGCCTTGCCAACTAACCCTGGGAGGTCTTTGATAGTGTTTTTCAGTCTTCGTGTAACTAACATGATATTCTCTGAGGATCTGTTCAATAAGAGCTCTGCAGAGTACAAAGCCTTGGAGCAGCGGTTCCTTGAACTGGTAGTGTACCTCCTCTAAAGTATGTTTGCTCCTATTGTTTTTCCTTTTCCCTATGCCAGAGGTCTTCGACCCTGCTCCAGGGGACCCACTATCCTGCAGAGTTTATTTCCAACCTGCTTCAGCACACCTGCCTATGTATTTTAAAAGTGATCCTGAAAAGCTTAATTAGCTGGTTCAGGTGTGTTTGATTAGGGGTGATGGGACCCCAGGATAGGGCTGTCGCGATAACCGCAATATCGCAAAACCGCGCTATTGACGAGCATACCGCAGAGGAATGCAAGAACCGCAGCAACCGCGATTTTTGCGTGTTTTCTTTTTTCGTAAGGTTATGCCCTCATTTTACACTTCATGCATGTGGACTGAATATTAAACAAGTTAGTAATGATAACATAATGTGTACCATGCTGATTTGTAGAGGCTCTGTAGATTTGCACTTAACAAGCCTAAACAGACAGTGAATGAGAGAGAGATCGACTGAGCGCACGATTACTTGCGTCTGTCCTCCAGGCCGAGTCATATATATTTGTGAAAATAGGTTGTCATGTCCACGGAAAGTGAAATCTCTGTCTTAGCATCGACGCATAGCTGGTCAGCTGAGCTTTCTAAAGTGGCGCTCAAAGTTAAAATGATTTCAACAGCGTGTTTCATTACGTCTCTTTGAATGAATGAATCAGCGTTTTTGAACGTGTAGTTGAATGACAGTCCCTTTCCACCACCTTGTGGCGCAGCACTGGAACTGCACTGACTGACAGCCCGTCTAGAACGAGCGCAGGTGGAAATATCAATAGAAAGTCTCTTGTCCAGTCAGATTAGAAAATCAGATTACAACTAGGCTAACTGTTATACATATAGGCTAACGATAGCCTAACGATCTTATTGTCAGGTTTATGTTCTGTTATGTGGACCGTTATTTTGTCATTCTCTTCTGTTTACTTC